TGCCATTCTGATGTGGGTGGAGGGAAAGTGGGTGGTTCTCCTTGGCTGGTTAGTAAATACTGCTTTTATGTAATCACTTTTCACACTCCAGCTATGTGTGGAAAATAAAGATTGGGTGTGGGCATAATATCCTTCCATTAAGAGAACCGGGGAATTCAGTGACTGGCATAGATATTGTATGTTTCTGTGTCAAGTAAATGGAAACCAAACCTGAGAAGGAGTTTCTGCATTGTGCTGTCTTAATGGCTCACTGAAAAAAATCGGTGCCCGTGCTCCTAAAGCCAGTGTTCCTCACCAGAAACTGAAACCTCTCTCTTTGGGGTTGGGAACTATCCAAAAGATTTTAAGCCTAGAATTTTTGGTGGAGATTGCAGTTGGTCTTTGGACACCAAGTGTACTGCACCTTCAGGGACTTGTTGTGCATTTTCATCTTCGCCTCCTTACCCCAGTGGATTCTCTCTTCTTTCTTTGCCCTTCTTTTATTTCTGCATTTTCAGAACCTCCAATCCATTGACTTGTTCTTGGTTTCCCTGTGAGATCCTTTTCTCTTGGGCTGTCAGGGGTCTCTGTCTTCATGCTGCGCAATCAAGTCTCATCAGGTCCATCCTGCTTTCTCTCCCCTCTCCTCCACCCCAAAGTGTAGACCCCTTCCAGCAAATAAAGGTTATGCTGTTCTGGCATGGCCCGGAGGAGGTGAGAGGGTGTGGTGTCGGGGAAGGTGGAGGCTGAGGGGTAGCCTCCGTTACCAGCTTCGTGGGGAATTGCCACATCACAGGTCCCTTGGGGCTTTGGACCTGGTGCGTGTATGCAGTGCTCCAAGGGGAGCGTGCCACAGGCGGGTAAGGGATGAGGTGATAGATTGACACTGGCTCAAAGAGTGGAGTATGTGGACACTACTACTCCGTTTAACCAAGAAGTCATCAGGTATTTCAGCGGGATCAGCATCCAATATGCACACAGAGGGACACAGTTCTACACTGGTGGTCAGGAGATGTTGCTTGCTTGGTCCATCTAGGCATAATGTTGAGAGAAAAGGAGAGTGCTGCTGCTTGGCGCAAACCGAAAGGCTTTCTAGCCTAAAGTGTAAAGCTCAGCAGTAACCCTTGATGTCCCAGGCGCACTAGAAACTGAAGAAAACCACCTGATGTTACTGTTAAAAGCCTCATTTGAGGAAGGCAGAGCAGCTCTCTGGACTGATTAGTCCCAAGCTGCACTCTCACTGAAGCCCCTTGTTTCAGTCTCCAAACCAAGTGACTTGCTAACTTGTCTGGTGGGGCGGTGGGCCCCTTGCGAGCAGTCTGCTTGCAGAAGAGACCCCAGTGAGCCAGGGCATGTGGAGTCGAGCATCTCCTGAAATAAAGGGCATATGGTGATACTTGGCAGTGTCGGATGAGCATTGCAGTTCTGTGACTTAGTGTCACATATATTGATCAGTTGTCCTCCAGGGTGGTTTTTGTCCTTAAAAGCTTTTGCCAGCACTGAACTGTAATGTGTTCTAAATTTGGAATTGAGGTTTCTCTCTGTTTGGTCCTTAATAGGAAAATTTCAAGAAAACTGAACAGAAATCGCTTTGACCCAGCAGGAGTTGAGGAAGCTTCTAAATACCAAGTCCTACACTCCAACATTATTACTCTGTTTTCTTGTATCTTGCCATATTTTGTGGATTATAAACATCACTTGTAGAGAACAGTGTTCTGCAAAATAAAATCAACTGACTTTATGTTGTGGCAGGAGATTTAGGTTGTGAAGAGACTTGATTTTTGGAAAACTGCTGGTGGGATTAACTTGAGCAAGCCAGGCAGGTCATGAGTATCTTGAAGTGACATTGCTTTTGCCAAAACAACAATTACCTTAATGCCTTGCTTTACTGGATTATTATGTATGCACTGCTGGTTTCACCACATTTCTCACTTTATTTTTTAAAACCAATTGCTTCCATTTTTCTTTGCTTTTAATTAAAAAAAAAAAAAAAGCTCTAAACTTTTTCAGTACTTGATTTTGTCCAGGCAAATAGCAAAACTAAAGATTGTTGATGTCTATACTGGAAATTCAAAATCTAATTGAAATGCTTTAATATAATTTTGCACTCTGCTAATACAATTGATGTAAACTACAAGTATTCTTAAGCAGCCTTAATTTGAAAACTTTACGCACTCTTCAGAATGAAATGGATTTACCTAAATTTCCTATTTTTACACTAACGTAATGCCAACAGGCCACGATGGACCTGGGAAAAACACTGCTGCTGACATAGAAATCCAGAGGAGGACTGCTTTTGATTTGCCTGGTTCCTCATGATGGCTGGTATCGCTGCTTCTAGAGTGTTTTTTCATTAAATGCTTCATGCAGCTTAGTAAAATGTCACAGTTGTATGCTTTTACTTCACATAATATGCAATATGAATTGTCTGGCTTCTCGCCATTGTACATTAGTGAAGGAGGGTGATTTCCCTAGCTTAGGAGCAGGGTGTCCGTCCTTATATTTACTTGGGTCTTTGAGTGGAAGTTGGAAAGCTGGGATTGTCTTGTAAAATACTAGGGTTAAAACAAATTCAGCAGAGCAAAATATGCTAATTGGATCATGCCAAAGAAGGCTTTAAAAATAATACCTTCATTTGGAAGCTTGTCTACATTAGGACACAACAAAAAAGGTAAAGACAAACATAAAGCAAATAGTACAGTCATTTACTGTTACCAGTTTGATCAGTATCAGTATGTCTGATCAGTGCTCTCTTTGTGGGGAGTTTCAAAGCTTACTTCAGTCATTTTAACTTTGCACAATTTTTGGTTGAGTCTCCTTATCGCTGCTGTTCTCGCACAAGCTAGTGGATGTTAAGAGACCCCCTGACAAAGTGAGCTGTTTAAGGACAGTGTGTCATTGTCAACAACGGGTGTTTTATCTGGTGCTGGAGACACTGTAGCTGCTCAGTTGTGTGAAAGAATGAAAATGAAGAGTAGCCGCTGTGGTGTATCTTACCCCAAGATTGGTCTCTGGCTTGGAGGGTTCAGATCCCTCAGTTGCGCCTCAGTCAAGATCCCATTGTAAATGGAGAAATCTGAGCATTGTCTCTCCCAAATTACCCGGCTTGTATCTAGTTCTGTGGGTGTAGATGTTGGCTATGGATCTGTTTGATTTACTGGGAACTGACTACTTGCGTGCTTTCTCCCCTCTTCAGCCTAGCCTTTATTTCTGCTGAGGTTATTTGTTTGTTTTTCAGATGAGACCCTTTTTGCTCTTCCTGCTACATCTGCGCCTCTGATGCACTCCTCTGCAGGCAAGTTCTTTCTGCTCACCTTTGTCTGAATACATCCTGCATTTCTGATCTGATCTCATTAACCCTTTCCAATTAGTCTGCCTCTACTAGAAGTCAGCATGGGTCCAAGAATAGCCTCTATCACATTTTTCAGTTTTGACTTTTCCGTTGATCTGTTCCAAGATTTTAATACTCATTCATTTCTTTACGTGGAAAACTGTTTTATAAACAAGCTACAGCCATCTGTGAATTCTTGGACCCTTGATGTAGGACAGAAGTTGATACTATTAACAGGTTAACACATCAAAGCATAGTTGCTTTACTGATTTAGCAGAAAGATTTAATCCATAGTAACTTTCTGCAGTATTTTATAAAAGTAAAATTTGTACCTGTAGTATATTAGTGGGTTTTGTTAGCTACACTGTCCACCAAATTTCCATTTAAAATAAGTCTCAAAAAAAGACTACTTACTGGCACGCACGTTTGTGCACATGTTTGTGCACAAGCATACACACCTACCCTCTCTCTGTCTCACCTTGCCACTCCACCCTCCCTCTCTTACTTTGTTAATATTGCCTGCTGTACTTCGATGCTCTGTACTTGTCTGGCATCTTCAGCTTTACTGTGGTCTTTGCGCTGCATAAAGTTGCTGCTTCTCTAGCCTTTTGCACACTTCTCTGCTAAAAGAAGTGAAATAGAATAGCATACTTTAACTGATACTTTGTTTTAATGGCTAATAGTGTTTATGATAGAACTTGGAAGACTTAATGACTAACATCATGTGAACCTGTCATGAAAGTTTGCATTGACTTTAAGAGCACTTGCATTCTCTAACTTTCCTTTCTGTCCACGGTCACAGAAAAAGTTATGGACTTGCAGGAGCAGCCAAGTAGCACTAAGTCGCTTGGTCAAGAGGATTTTACTGCAGTCCCGCTTGATACTGCTCCTTCTCTTCCCTCCTTCTCTCCTGTCTCAGCTGATCCCTTTAAAGAGCACGCAGCCTTTGATACGCTCTCAGATGGATTACCTGCAAGAGGCATTTACAAAGAAAATGCAAGTGAGGTTTATAAAGAAACTATGGAAAATGCAAGAAATCCATTTCTTCTGGAGGGAAATGAAAAAGACGTTTCAGAGATGAAATACTCGGAACCCCCATTTGCTAAAGCAGAAGCAGCCATTTTATCTCAAGCTAAAGAAGAAACACAGCTAGAGGGCCCTAAAGAATTACCTCATCTGGAGAAAATGCCTGCACAGCAGCTGAAAATGTCTCCAGAAACTCCTCAAGATTTGTTTGAGAAAAATGAGGAAGATTTCTTTTATAACAAAGACAAATACAGAGATGGTAATCATGGTGAAAAAGGGGTACTGAAAGAAGACCCTCTTAGGAGGGAAGAGTATGCAGACTTCAAACCTTTCGAGCCAGTATGGGAAGTAAAAGGTGCTAGTCACGGACTGAGCAGCGTGAGAGAGGATGTTGGAAGTAAGATAGATGCCAAACTAGAAAGCAGTTTAGATGAGAAATACAGTGTAGATAAGCTGAATGTGCAGAAGGATTACGAAAGAGAGAGTGAAGGCAGCGCTGAAGATCTCTCTTTCCCAAGTACCCCAGAAGCTGTAAAAGAACCTTCGCAGACTTACATCACTTGTACTAAATTTGAATCCTCTGTAAGTCCTGATGGCAACAAAGTCAAATCTCTTTCTCCACTAGAAGAAGGCACTTCAGAAAATAGAACCGATGATGAGAAAAAAATTGCAGAAATGAAAGCTCAGACGAGCACAGAACAAGGCAGTTTTAGCACTCAAGCAGTTGGCAAGCAGGAAGACCAGGAAGCTGACTATGCTAAAACAGAGAGTATATCAACAGTGGCATCTGACACTGCAGCAAACATGCCTGAAGGTCTTACTCCTGATCTAGTACAAGAAGCGTATGAAAGTGAAATGCATGATGCGACATGTACAAAACTTGCTTATGAAACAAAGATTGATTTAGTTCAAACCTCCGAGTCAGTACAAGAGACTCTGAAACCCGTGACACAACTCTGTCCCTCATTTGAAGGGTCAGAAGCTGCTCCATCACCAATATTGCCGGATATTGTTATGGAAGCCCCGCTAAGCACTGGGACTGCTGGTGCAGAAGCATCTGCTGTGCAGCTTGAAGCTTCCCCGTTAGAAACATTTATTCCTACTGCTAATTATGAGAATGTAAAAGAAGAGACTGAAAAACCTCCCTTATACCAAGAGGCAGTGAATGTACCACTGACACAGGCCCAAGAAGCAAAAGAGGCACTAGCATTTAAAAAACCTGATCATGAGAGTAGCACCAGTCCTGAAGATATTGAGACTCCATATATATCTATTGCATGTGACTTAATTAAGGAAACAAAGGCCTCCAGTGAATCTGCTGCTCCATCCTTTACAGATTATTCCAAGACACCGATAACAGAATGCATTTCCCCGGATGTGCCTGAACACAAGGAACTTGTTGAAAAACTGTCTCCGCAGTTTGGAAAATCTGACTTGTTTAATAGCCAGGCGATACCTGACTTCACTGAGAAAACGAGCGAAGATCAATCTCTCATCTTAAAAAGTAAATCAACTGAGAGTATTGTAATTGATGATGAACATGAGGAACGACGGGTGGATTCAGTAGCTGCCACGGGCAAGCCTTATCTGGAGTCTTTCCAACCCGAACTGGATGCTTCCAAAATTGTTGCTGCTCTGCCATCTGAACCAACACCTACGAAAATAGCCAAGGCAGAGAAGGTTCCTCTTCAAATGGAAGAGCTGAATGCTATGGCTTATTCAGCTGATGTATCTGTTGCTACGGAACCAAAAACAGGAGACAACAAAGCTCTCTCACCCATGGAGTCTTCCCCAGTCCCAGTGGAAGAAGACTTTGTGATGTTAGCTCATCCTAAAACTGTTCCTGAGTTTTTGGCAGAAGCCACTGACAGAGAAGTACTGCACAAAGATGAAAGTGAAGAGTTCGGTAAGGTGATCCAAGCTGAGCAGAGGCAGTTGCCTTGCCCAGAGCTGCCCTGTGATCTGCCTGTAAAGAATGTAGAAGTAAAAGCTGAGGAAGATACTAATGCCTTGAAAAAGTCCTTGGAGGCTGCGGAGAGAGAAGTGCCTGAAGTATCCATGATGTCCTTACCGGCCACAGATACCTCACCTCTATCTGCTGAAAAAGAGGTAGTCAGTGTAGTAAAACCAGAAGCTTTTGAGAAGGAAGCTGAGCGAGAAGCTGCTTCTGTTAAAGAAAAGGAAAAACCTACTGCTGTATTTTCAGCAAAGCTGAATAAATCTTCAGGTAATCTGTGTATGCTGTCTTGCAGTTTGCTAATCTGCATAATTCTTTAGCTAAACTTACGCATGTCATGACTTACTCTTTTTAAGTCACTTTCTGTAAACTTCTTGATGTAGACCAAGGGTAACAGAAAATGTTAGTGCCTGCACTTTTACCTTTTTCATATTCTGATTGCTTTGGTACCTTTTTTTTTTTTCTTTTCTGTTTGTCAGGGATGGACTCACTGTCTCCAGTTTTCTCCTTCAGTTCTCCTGCTGGTGATCTGTTACAGAAATAAGTCACTACTCACTGCAAGCTCTTCTATGGTTGTCTACAGGCTGGGCATTAGGTGGCCTTCCAGACTTGCTCTTAGTATGTGATAGTAGGCCAAGGATGGTGTTTCAGTCTGCTATGTGTACATGATTTGAAGAGGCATTTCTTGCTTTTCATACACACTTCAGACATGAGACTTTGAAACTTAGGAAAATATCCTTGCTGCTACTGTATGTGTCTGGAATCTGAAAAGAACCTGAGCATCTCCACTCACGTGACTTGCAGCTTGCATTAGGTCAAGGCGAGTGGTTTAAGATAAATAGTGCACATGAGGGAGCTTAGTATTCAGGTTACTAGGAAAGTGGCCATTAAGAAGTCGAGTATCCTGCAGACATTAAAATTGGTTTATACACAGCACAGATAGGAATTTCCATTTCTATTTTCAGGTAGCGCTTGCACTTCAGTGGAGTTAATTTTTCTTCTACTAATGTGTAGGCAAAGTAGCAGAAAGTTGAAGGAAGGATAAGACCATTGTGTTGCATTCTGTTCCCTAAACTGAATGCCTTGTGAAATTCCAGCTCTTTGTAGACCAGCGGAGTACTTTACTTTTTGGTATCACAGCACCCTGCTGCTCCTCAAGTCTTGCATCAGAAGCATTCCCACTAAAAACCAGCAGAAAGCACAATGACTCTGTTCTAAATAGAAACCCAAATGTTAGTTTGTTAGTTTGACACGGCAGTAGTGTATTTGTGCAGTAGCTGCAGTCTACAGTTCCTAAAATACTACATTCCTAATGTGTGTCTTCTACATCAAATGTGTTTTGGAAGGGAATAACAGGTGTATGTTGAGGGGAACGTCAGGGTGTTGGTGCAATTGAAATAGGGTTTGGAAAATAAGGTAGAAGATGTAGGTTTTATGTTTAACTTTGCCCGCTGGTTGCCATTCCTCCTGTCTCACCTCTTCTATACCTACAGGTAGGCAGAAAGGAAGGAGTTTCCTTTTTCCCTTGCAATGACATTTCAGTGATGCCTCTGCTGTTAAAACATCATGTTTGTGTTCTGTGAAGACTCCCCTCCTTGCACTCAGACTTTCAGCATATAGTACTGTCAAAAGAACAGCTGCTGTGTATCTTGTACTTCATGTCAAGGGGTTAATTGTTTAGAGATCAGACTACTTTGGGAAAAAAAACCCCAACGAACATTGCACTTAGTGCACTAGTTTTTTTGTTCATCCTTTTAACAGGAAGCCTTTGCAGAGGTGTCTTTAATCATTGCATGGATGTAGCAGATGGGGGGGTGGCAAATCAGTGCCTTGGGAAGAATGACTCTTACTTTGGGGCCTGAGAAGGACACAGCTGCTGCTCTTCTGTCTACGAGAAACTGCCGGAGAAGCTGCACATAAAACCGTTTGCCATAGCAGGAGAGGAGAGAGTTGAATGGTGTCTTCATTCTCCCATCTAGTGGCAGAGTGCTGGGACAGGGCACGCATCTGTCCCGCAGCGGTGTTAGCTGAGGGACTGGAGCTGGGCTGGGTGCGTGGGAAACCGGGGAACTGCCTACAACCGCTCTGTCAGCGTTGTGCTCGCTCCGTAAAGCAGTTGCAGTTTTAATTTTTGATGTACTGTGGTGTTTGGGAAGGAAAACTTTTTTTTCTTAACTCTGGAGGAACACTTAAAGCTGAACAGATGAGAATACTAACTGAAAATGGTCCATTTTTTTCTAGGTTTTTCCCCACGGTCTGTGCTGTTTACTTTTTTGCTCATTTCTGCTGTGTTATAGAACACAGAACTGGCAGAACTGGACTTCCGAGGCCTACCTGAAGAGTCTAATGACAAGCCATGGACAAAATCAGTTGTCTATTTTTAATACCACACTACTTAAGCACAATTCCAAAGTGGCATCAAAGAACTAACACATACAGTTGCCTTCCACACTTTCAGAAAGGAGAGGTAATGCGTCACGAGGCCAAGAAGTGATCTGTGCATGTGTTTGGCCTTCTGAGTCTACCTTGATTGTGTGGGGTTTTTTGTCTTCCCACCAGTGGAACTGAAAGAGATTTTACTGTGCCTCAAGGCTTCTGGAAATCAGTTGGCATGATTCTGACTGATGCTTGTTAAAACATTAATCTGAACTGCCTTACTGGTGCACTTAAATTGAGGTTCTTGAATGCTTATTTAACAGTGCTGGTTTTTTTCAAAGCTAACCTAAATGCCGACATGTCTACGCGTACCTGGAAGTGTAACTTCCAACAGTCCCAGTGGACTGCAGGGAGCTAACAGAAACTCTGAAAGGGTGCAGATTTATTTTTTTAAACACCACCACTCCAATAAAGCAAATGTAAAGCTTTGAACAGCCTCCTGGGTAGGACGAGGTTTGTTTAATGCTGCCTGGCAGGCCTCTGGGTAACCTGTTGTATTTTGTAATGGTATCAGACCACAGGGACCTTGTACTTCATAGCTGCACAGATTTAAAAAACGAAACAAACCCAAACCAAACCAAGTTCAGAACTGTAGTTGACTGTAAAGAAACCCCTCTCCTTCTAAGAAGCTCCTATTTATAACCATTTCAACAGCAAATACCCCCCTGCAACACCAGCAATCCCTACTCTCGTGGATAGTGATCCTTTTTAATTTTTTTTTTCCCCACTTCATTTCTCAGTACGTGCTGTATCTAGCTCCCTAGCAGATAATCCTGCAGCTTCACTCTCACGCTCACCAGCTTTCAAAATACACATTTCTTGATCTCCATAAAAATACTGCGCACTGAGAGGTGAGTTCAGAGGGGCCGGTCCCTGGTGGGTCAGGCGCTGGTGGGCTGCGGGCGCTCCTCGGGGAGCGCTGTGATGCCATCTAGCGTTTGTAAATGGCGGGTCGCTCCAGCACCCCGGGCCTTGCACAGGGACTGCGTCCCAGATTTGGAGAAACTGAACTGTGGAAATTAGTTTCATATGCTTAAGAGTTGAAAACTAAATATACCTTTACATATCTTAGCCCTTCTGTTGTACAGACTTTCTTCACTGAAACTTACTTTTGGATAGAGATCATGAATTCTCCCAAATAGGCTAAAACCCCTTGCTTTCCATAAACCTTTTTTTGACCAGTGGGATATGGAGGATTTTATATTACTGAATTACAAAATCAAAGTATATTGTAGAACCCCCCAAAATCTAAACCTCTGACCGTGACGGAAAGTTCTGTACCAAAACATAACCACATTGACAGTTTAAATCTCTCAGTATATTCATGCTGAGCATTACAAAAATACTTGAAAATAGTGTTGAGATCTTTACTCTCAAGGCAGTCGGTTTCACAGGACACCCTTGTTTCGTGGTGGTTTTGAACATCAGGCTCTGTAGACATTCATTTCAGATTAAATCTTACGGGTTTACAGGTCTCTTGTTTTCATATATGCTACGGGGCACTCTATAACTGAATTACAGAAATGCAGCTGATTAATAGTATCTTACATTTCCTGGATTTTCTCGAGGGGGTGAATTCAAAGGTGAAGTCCAAGTGGGAAATGTGCTTTTGAGAGGGTGACTGAGTGGTACTAATGATGAAGCTTTTCTTTTTTCTCCCGAATCATGGAGGCAGAAATAAAATACTTCCTGTGATTCTGTAACAGCAAACCAGGTCATTACAGTACGTGAAGCTTAAAAGAAGTTCGAAATGCTGCCTTACACCAGCACTTGTACCCGTTTGGTTCATTTCTGTTAGCTTCCGTATTTGTAGTTAGTTAAATAGAGCCCTTCAGCTGATGGGAAGTGTTTGGTTTGGTTTTGTTGGTTTTCACTGGGGAAAAAATACCTTGGAATGCCTCTGGAGTTTCTTTCAGGAGCAGATTATTTGTAAAATACCATTTAATTCAACGTAAAATACCATTTAATTCAACATAAAGTCTTCATTTAATTTCATCTGATTGTGGTGTTAGATTCTCTGGTTGTTTAGGTCTTCTTTCATGCTATCAGGTAAATAATAATAAATAGAGACTTCTGTTCCAGCATGGAGAATTTGTTCAGGAGTAAGAGGAATGAGGGGGGAAAGAAAAAAAGCCCCAAACAACCTTGAGTGAATTTTTTCTGAAGGAGAGACCTGGACTTGCTGTGTTTCATTAGAGCTCTCGTGTCGGCCCCGTTGAGAGGCGAAGGCCGCTAACCCTGGACTTGCTGTGTTTCATTAGAGCTCTTGTGTCGGCCCTGTTGAGAGGCAAAGGCTGTATGGCGAAGGCCGCTAATGGAGCAAGGCTTTTGGGAAGTTACTTGCAGGGCGGCAGAATTATGGAGAAAACGGAGCGTTTGTGGTAAGTTATCAGTGTTCCCAGAAGCACAGATATTCAGCCAGCACTGAATGGGGCAGAATTAGGTAGTCATCCAAAATGCTCTCCTGTGGGAAGTCG